GGGTACCCATATGCGTCCTCGAAATAACTTTAAGCCACGACCATCCTCCGTAAGAAGTAAGTGTTGTTTCACCATAACCTCGCTCTTGAGGTTTTTCTCCAAAAGTGCTTCAGACTGYGCCACCYTGATTCGATCGATYAGACTGGACATTACATCAATCCTGGTAAGAACGGCTTTCGTCCYACTACCGTACTCYTTTCGGCTCAAAGCATCCGCCACAACATTCGCCTTMCCCGGGTGGTACAGCAACTCACAATCGTAGTCTTTGAGTAGTTCGAGCCAACGCCGTTGCCTCATGTTTAGTTCTTTTTGATCGAAAATGTACTTCAAACTTTTATGATCAGTGAAAAGCGTGCACTTGGTACCATAGAGGTAATGTCGCCAAATCTTTAAGGCGAACACCACTGCTGCTAACTCCAAGTCGTGGGTGGGATAATTCTTCTCGTGWTCCTTGAGTTGTCTTGATGCGTATGCTATCACCCTTCCTCTTTGCATTAAGACGCAACCCAACCCCATTTTTGAAGCGTCACTAAAGACTACAAAATCCTCGRATCCTTCTGGCAAGGAGAGGATCGGGGCTTCACATAGCTTCCTTTGGAGAGTTCTAAAAGCATTTTCTTGTTTCTCTGTCCAGATAAACTTCACATTCTTCCTAGTCAACGCTGTCAAGGAAGAAGCGACTTTGGAGAAATCTTGAATAAATCTTCTGTAATAACCCGCCAAACCCAAGAAACTTCGAATCTCCGATGGGYTCTTTGGTGGTTCCCAGTTCATCATTGCCTCAATTTTGGATGGGTCTACCTTCACTCCGTCTCGAGTGACCACGTGACCCAAGAATTGGACCTCTTTTAACCAGAAGTCGCACTTGGAGAATTTTGCATACAATTTCTCTTTTCTTAGCACTTCGAGAACTTCTCGAAGGTGTTGYTCATGATCCGACTCGTCCTTGGAATAGACGAGTATGTCGTCAATAAACACTATCACCGACTTATCAAGGAAGGGTCGGCACACTCGGTTCATCAAGTCCATGAATATCGCCGGTGCATTAGTCAAACCGAAAGGCATGACCAAGAATTCATAGTGCCCGTAACGGGTTCTAAAAGCAGTTTTCATCACATCGTCTTCCTTCACTCGCACCTGATGATACCCCGAACGAAGGTCGATCTTTGAGAAGCAACATGCTCCTTGAAGCTGGTCAAAAAGATCGTCGATTCTGGGAAGAGGATACTTGTTCTTCACGGTTGCCTTATTGAGTTCTCTGTAATCAATACACATCCGCATGGTGCCGTCCTTCTTTTTTACAAACAAAACTGGGGCTCCCCACGGTGACGAACTCGGCCTAACAAATCCTTTCTCAAGAAGGTCTTGCAATTGAGACATCAATTCTTGCATTTCGGAAGGGGCTAAACGGTAAGGGGCTCTAGCAATAGGAGTGGTTCCCGGAATAAGGTTAATGTGGAATTCCACCTGTCTCTCGGGTGGTAAACCGGGTAAGTCTTCAGGAAATACGTCGAGAAATTCATTGACCACTTTCACATCTTCAACCCTTCTTTTCTCTAGTTTGGTATCCAACACGTATGCAATGAATGAGGGACACCCCTTAGCTAAGCACTTACGCGCCTTTGCCATGGATAAGAGTGCTACATCTCCTTTCCTTCTTTCTCCATAAACTAGCAATACGTCCCCGTCCGATAAAGGAATTCGAATCAATTTCTTAGAGCACAAAATTTCCGCTTGGTTCTTAGCTAGCCAATCCATCCCGATTATGATATCGAATCCGCCTATAGCCATGGGTATAAGGTCCACTCGAAATTCTTTTCCTTCAATCCCCAAGACACAACTTCTAACAATTTCGCGCACCAAAACTTGACTACCATTTGCTATCTCTATGATCAATGCATCTTCTAGTGTACTAAGTGGCGTAAGCAAGTGTTGATAGAAAGTCGTGGACACAAAGGAACATGAAGCACCTGAATCAAAAAGTACGTGAGCAGGTACTGAGTTAACAAGGAACGTACCTGACACTACATCCGTCGATGCTTTAGCTTCTTCCGCTGTCATTTGAAAGGCTCGGCCGGCTGCTCTTGGGGTATCTTCTTTCCTTGTCTGACCCCCTCCCGCCCTCAACTTCGGGCAATCACTCTTGAAGTGACCTAGTCCTCCGCATCCAAAACATGTGGGTCCTTTGCTTTGACACTCGTTTCGTGTGTGGCCTGACTTCCCACACTTAAAGCATTTGGTGGGGGTAGGGTGGGTGTTACACGGGCCGTGATGTTTGCTGCGACACTTGGGACACCATCTTGCCTCTTGATTGAGATGGGTTCCGCGATTGCTGTTGCCAAAGTAGTTTGGCTTTTTGGATGGTGCGTAAGGCCCTTCCCACCTCCTCTTCTCCCCACTCGACATCCTTTCTTCCCTTCTTTTGGCGTAGACTGATTCCAAGACCTTGGCTTCTTCGATTGTCTCCCTGAGGGTGGATGCTCTTGAATTCCTAACCATAATCATCATGTCAGCAGGTAGCCCTTTAAGGTAGGCTTTCATTTTATCTTTCTCCGTTGGGGCCACGTGCCCCACCAAGTTCAACTTTTCCAAAAAATAACGCGTGTAGTCTCTCACCGACATATTCCCTTTCTTGAGGGTTCGGAATTCTTCCTCAATGCGATCCATCTCTTGCTCGTTGCAAAATTCCTCCAGTACTTTTTCCTTAAACGTGACCCAACTCATCTTGGCCAACTCCGTAGTCTCTAAGGTTGATATGACAATGTTCCACCAGGTAAGGGCTGTACCCCTTAGCATTTGAGAGCCAAATCTTGTCTTTTGTCCTTCATCACAGTCACAAGCCCTGAAGGCCTGTTCGATCTCTCGAAGCCAGTTCATGCACGCTACTGGATCATCAGACCCTACAAATTCCGGCGGCTTGCAACTCAGAAACGTCTTGTAGGAGCAGACCCTACTCACTTGTCTTGCTTCAATTGTTGCTAACTCTTGGGTTGGGGTTCCATCTCCGGTACCTCCAGATCCTCCAATAGTCATATTCTCGGCCACTGCTTCGTGCTTACGGTTGCTAGTATCCCTATCCTCCAATAACTTCATAAAGAACTCTTGTTGTTGGGTCATAGCTCTGTTCATGGCGTTCATCACAGTGCCCAACATTCTTGATTCCGGGGTTTCTTCTTCCATTATGGGGTTAGTGGTGGCAAGGTCGACTTGGGGAACCTGTTCCACTCCACCCCCAAGGTATTTTGCCTAGAATGAACTCTTGTAATGGTGATTCGTGGCGGTTGATCCGCGGTAGATTCAGTTACCGCATGACCTTCGGGAGAGGTATCCCGTCTACTCCGAGTATTCACTATGAAAGACTGCCAACAAGGGAGTGAAAAGGAGTTATGATAGGACGAACACGGGATTAACATAATACATACCGATACGTTCACAAATTCTTGTAACAACAGTAAGTTCAAGCACGCTTGCGTAATAACTTGCTCAAAATAGCATTAGCTAAGTGAAATTTTGAATAGGTTATACATAAGAATTCTTAACGCCATCGTCACAATTCATGAACGGGGTAACTCCGATGTCCCTATAGCTTTCCCATCCTAAAAGATCTACCCATAACGCACAAACTATTTCCTACAATGTCAGCTTAAGTCTAGGCATCTAAATCCTATCCCTAGTTCGCTTAAGCTAGTGCTCTGATACCAACTTGTAACACCCTAAATAAAAACTTCAATATATAAATAAAATAAAAATAAAATAAAATTTAACGGATACTAGGACTTGATATAGAAATCACCCAAAAA